ATATATGAAAATGCTATACAATTATAAAGCCTTATAATTAATTTTTGGATAGGGATTCACTTTGCACATTTTCCTTATTGGAAAATGATGTACATAAGATATGGGCATATTGTGTGGTAATTCTGTGTCTGTAGATTATGGAAATGCAGAAGATATGAATTATGCCAGACATTTTCACATTTGTATTTTTAGCAACCTAAACTTTCCAAATGGGAATTATTATAAATATCTCTGCATTCTTTTGGAAAGAAGGGCATTCTTTGTTAGAGTGTTCTCAGGTGTGTATTTTCTTCCCAGAGAGGGCATTTCTTCTATGTTACTTATGGCTACATAAAAGATACATTCTATGTGTTGGAAACTTGACATTGCCAATACACATAATACTTTTTAAATGTGAAACTTTCAACGGCTGTTCCCCCAAGGTCAGTACATTATTTCAGAGAAGCCTATTTTTTTTTTTTATTTTTCCTCAAACCATCTACAGTTGTAGAATTTCATGTTGATACCCTAACAGTAAGGTATTTTTAGAATAGTAAAACATGGGAGATACTATCTTTTGAAAATCTCAGTATTGGTCTAGTAGTTGATTCTATTTTAGATTATGTTTGCTCACATGATGAATTATAACATTTTGAATTATACCATTTATTCTGTTAGGGTTTAGAGAAGAGGAAGGATTTAGAGAAAAGTATTTTTTTAATGCTGTTACTTGTTAAGTTGATTATATTGACAGTGACTGTCAAATTGTCATCCCTCCATAATTCCCTTTCATTTCCCTCCATGTCTTCCTCCCTTTCTTCCTTCCACAAATGTTTATTGGGGGACACTATGTACCAGGCACTATAATAGGCACTGGGAATAGATATAAGTAAAAACCCCTGCTAATATACACATAGAATAAACAAAAAGTTCTCCTTATAGAATTTTTATTCCAGTGAGGAAAACAATCAATAGATATATTGATATGTAATATTTGTGGGAATGATAATGAATATGGAGGTTATTACAGGATGCTTTTGTAGTGGGTAAGGAGGGTAGATGGACTGATCTCACTGCATGAGACACAGGATGTGCAAATAACTCACTAATACCCCAATAACTTGGAAACAAAGAGATGATATTCCTCATTCTTCTACCCTCACATACTGTCTCTTTTTAACTTTATTTTCCTTTTGATACATCTCTTGCCTTGTTAATTGAACCTGATTCTATCCCTTTAAATTGTATTAAGGGGGCCTCCCTGGTGGCCTAGGGGTTAAGTCTTAGGGTTATCACCACAAAGGCCTGAGTTAGATCCTTGGCCAGGGAGCTAACCTACCTGGTGCAGCAGACCTCTCCTATTTCCCCTGCTGCTCCCCTTAGATATTTCAGTAGATCTGCTTGTTCTGCACCCCAGTCTCTGATGAATCCTCTCACCCCTCCCCCTGCACCTCTGGCCTGCACTCCAGTTTTTCTATGCAAAAATAAATAAATAAAATCTTCTAAAAATAAAATTGTCTTAAGAGATAGAGTTCAAGGTTTTAATGTTTACCCCTGACTGGCACTATTAAGGGATGATGCCCTTAAGTTTCATACTCCTTTTTGGAGAACAGACTTAAAAATACCAAGTATCTGACTAGTGGTGATAATTGTGTTCAACTACTACATTAAAGACTGAAAAAATACTTGTGAATATTACTTGGGAAAAGTGCTTCAGTTAACCTGTTCTCACTGAAAATATAAGCTCTCCCAATTCATTTTTGCTTGCTTTAATGATGGAATTAACTAGGGCTGACAGTTGTCATTCTAAGACAAAAATCCCTTGGTTTATTTTTCCTTTTGCGTAACATATAATATCATGCTTTTCATCCCACATTACCCCAACATGCTTCTATGTGAAAGAAGTCAGTGCTTTATTGGGAGAAAAAATCATTTCCCTTATTTTTCAACAGAACAAGAAGGGTATAGAGGCAATAGATTTGGGATGCATAAAAGTAGGTAATTAAGTGGGCAAAGAATACGAGTAGAAGAAAACAATCAGGTCTGAATGAATGAAGATGAATGAAACAGGACAGGGACAGAGGGAGTAGTCATTGTATTTCCTCTTGAAAAAAAGGAAATGGTATTGACATATTAACTCTCAGTTAATTGAGGAATTTGTTGTTGAAAATACCAGATAAATATCTCAGGGATTATTCCCTAGGTAAAGCTTTGTCAGGTGGATCATTCATATTATTCCCTGTTTTAGGAAAGTTTAAACACCATCACTTCCTGAGAAGACTTCTAGCTTCCTCTTCTCCCTTTGTTAATGGGTATCTTTGAGAATGAAAACAATCTTTTAGTGTTAATCTGCACCAGATCATGAATTAATGGAGTATGCTTTTGAAAATTCATATATGTTAGAAAATAAGTATTCTTAAAACATTTTGGAATGGAAATGTAATCTCTATTTTACCTCTCCTCCATTCCATGATAACAAAAAGCCAATGAGGTTTACATCAGAGATCAAAATAAAGCACTTTTATATGCCCAATTGTTTTTTTTAAAGATTTATTTATTTATACAACCACGGGAGTACAGGCCCGAGGCATGGGAGGGTGAGAGAATTCACCAGAGACAGAGCAGGGAGCAGAACAGGCAGACAGACTAAAGACACTGCTGAGGGGAGCAGCGGGCGAGGCAGGAGAGGTCTGCCGGGCAATGCGGGGATCTCCCTGGCTGGCCCAGAATCGAACCCGCGCTGTAGAGGCTGTGGACAGCTTTATAGCACTGCGCTCAACCCGCTGCGCCCCTGGGGAGGCCCTATATGCCCAATTATTATTGACTGAATTTGTAGAACTAACTCAATTAGGAGGACCAGGTATCGTGTGTACATTTCACCCTACAGTGTACATACCCCTACAGTGGGGTAACTGGATGGGACTCCAGTAATTTTAAATCCAACCATATCATCTCACAGCTGAGGACTCTGAAATCCATAGCAGTTCAGTAATTGTTCAATGTTGTAATTAAGAAATGTGAAATTCTAAGTTTATTCCAAATTTCATTTGTATTACAAGGTGGCACAATTTATTTCTAAATCCTAATCCTAAGATATATTCAATTTATGATTATTCAACTTATCAGTGTTTCCTATAACTTTCTCAAAGTACCTTCCTTCTACTAACAGTATTTAATTTAATTTTGGGACAATAGTGATTTCTTCCTTCAGGTGTGATCACTGTGGACCCAGAGCGAATCACCATAGTCCCTTGTGCTCTTACCCCACCTCTTTTTTTTTTTTTTTCACCCTTCCTCAACTTCCCTCCCCTTCCCCAGCCATGGAAGCCTCAAATCTATAGTCAGCTTTCAAGAACCAGCAGGGTTTTAAAATATTCAAACACTATTCAAAAAACACATCACAGATGATAGTCAATTCAGTTTTTCATTTGATTTGGCATTTTTGTCATATTTTAGCTAATGTCATTTCATTTTCCTTGTAGAAGAAATGGGTATTTTCTCTCTGAACTTTGATGAAACAAAATAAGACTTTGTTCTTGGAAAAGTCTTACTTTAAGCTTCAGAAAGTAAAATATTGCTATAAAATTGAGTTTATTTTTCTTTCTTTTTTCTTTTAAATTTAAGTAGTTTAAAACTTTTGCCAGTTTCTTTGCTTAGTAGCATTGTGGTGAACTTTATAGATCCTTACATTTGACTGGTAGAAAGACATGGGGTTTTTCTGTGGGATCATGGGCTGAACTTAATGGTTGAGCTGTGTTAGCTCACTGGATTCTTTAAGATATTTTCAGTCATAATTTTATCATTTAAGTGTGGCTAAACTAAGCTTAGGCAATTCTGATACATTTTTTAAAAACACAGGTTGCTGAGTTAAAACTCTATATGCCATATTTCAGCCCCAAGCATATTTTTATGACAAAGTAATGAAGCTCGGGAAACAGGTTTATAATGGAAAATGCAACTTGACCTTAACTAGGGGAGCCCAAGTACACCTTACAATAGCACATTTTTGAAACACACAAAATCCTTTACTCCCAAGGGTGGTGTCACAGGAGGAAGGTGTATAATAATAGTTGTATTTACCATAAATACCTAACATATTTTATGATGATTTGATTCTATTAAAAAAATTCACCTTATAGATTTTAATAAAGCCGCCTATTGGCAAAGTTATTGCAGTTGGATTTCTTCCCCTTTGACCACTGGTCTCAGTGGAAAGAAGCGAGCAACCCTTATAAAAGGCTTTAGTTTTTAGTACCTGGATAATAAAAAATAATTTCCTCTCCTTTGGACTTGTTCATGAAGCTGAAAAATGACTCTGCAGGTCAGTGGTGTGTGGCAAAGCTAATTTCCATAAGCTTTTTATCAGGTGGTACTGAGTAAAGCAATATGGGAAAACTGGAAAACCTACCATTCTGCACCAAATTTACAAGGGTGAGCATTGTCCCCAGTGTCACAGAAAGGAAAAAGTGACATTTATCTTCCAGATTTCTACTACAACAACAAAATATTTTGAGATATGAAAGGCATAGAAGAGACAACTAAAGAACATGGAAATTTTCAGCTAAATATAATTTTTTAAATCTGACACAAATGTCACTCACTGTTTAGAAAACAATGAAGCTCAGCTTTTATTTGTTGCTCTGGTGACAAGGACACCTCATAGTAATAAACATGATGAGCCATGTGTACTAAAGCAACCCAGAAAGCAGTTGTCAATCAAACAGTGTGCTCCCCAGAATGACTTCTTCTCCCCAAGCATCGCATTTTCTAAAGTAGCATTGGGAGAACGTTCTAATCAAGAAAAATCGGGCTTCTTCCCGATTCAACAGAGTGTTTGCTGTGAGTCTTGCAGAGCATGGCAGAGTGAAACATGCCATCCTTGCAATCTCCCAGGATATGCACAGGCCATCTTCCAGGAAAGAAGTTGGAGAAAGGGCTGCATAATGCTCCCAGGCACCTGAAAAGCAGGCAGCTCTGATCCCAATAAGCTTGAAGTCATATTTCTTTCTCTACTTCCTCAGGCTGGGGAATCGCAAGGATGCACAGCAGCAATGTTGCTTAAGGTGTCACGGATCCCCCTTTTACCATCCTTGTGTAAAGGCACCCAGGGCATCCTTACACTGGTCTATTTTCCTCAGAGTCCAAAGGAAGAAACAAAAACTGCAGGAGGTTGGAGAGGTGATGGGTGAGTCTTTCTTTGATTATTTTTATCTCAATGGCTAGAATGGATCACAAACATTAGGTCAAAGTTAACATGCTTCTTTGGTGGCATATCATGGATGAAGCTTAAAAGAGAAAGAAAATTCTAACTCCTTTTACAGATGTAGCCATTTAACTTATCTCCTGCTTTTAAATTCAATTTTACAACAAAAAATTAAAGACATGTGGTGTGTATCTGTGAGAAATATTTTTGGATCATCAGATTAGACATGTAGAAAGACAATACACTGCTGTTCAACAGCTATAGGGTTTGTTGGGATAGTCATTGACAGGAAGGAGCACACGTCCTACCGCTGAATAGGAGGATATTAAGGATGTGTGTGTATTGTTGGGGAGAATGGGTTTGACAGTGTCTCTCCCATCAAGTGACCTCTTTTTATCAACCTCAAGTGGGACTTGTGGACATTCACTGAGAGCTAGTCGATGTGAAGATGTGATGTGGGTGAGAGATTAGTGGACATTTTCTGAAATGGGACAGGATACTGACCAGTGACACCTGTGACATTGAAACAGCTGCTTTGATTTATATGTGGAATTACGTGAGTCAAATAGAGAAGGATAGGGGTGAATTAGGGCTCTGTCGGATATGTGAAGTAGAGGAATTAGAAGATATAATTGTGATGAAAGTAACGTGTCCTGGGCCTAGACAAGGAAGAGTAGATTTCATTGATCATCTCATTTAAGAAACGTAATTTGTGTCACGTAGAACAAGTTTGCATTTTGCAAAAGTAACTTTTCTTCTAGATTTTCTTTTCCTAATGATGAGGGAATTGAGTGTTTAGTGCAATTTGCATAAGCTAGATTTAGAAATCTTCGTTGTGGCATAAAAATTGGGAAACTCTAAAATATAATCATTTTTAGACTCTGTGGCAGTTCCGAAGCAAATAAATCTTCTTGCATTTTGCCCAGCCTTCATTATTTTTACCCCTTTTGGTTATAACATATCAAATATTTTCTTTTTGAAAACTAGTAGCAGTTGTTATTTTTATGGTTTTGTACATTAATTTTAAGTGTGACAGTTATTAATTTATAGACTAGTAGGAAACTAAATGAGTTGACAGTCTCCTCCAGGGCTCTGAGAAAGGTCAGAGAAAGGACAACTTCACAATAATCCCTAAATATTCATTGTGCATCCCTTTTTCTCCTTTGCATAGTGGCTTTGCAGAATCCCAGTGGATATGTTGTTGTTGAAAGAGGTGGGAGCAGAAGCTCTGGGGGTTGGGGTGGCCATGTCCTCCTGTAAAAGACCCAGCTCTTCTGGGACCTTCTTCAAACTGGCATCTTTGTGGTTTGCATAATAATACTTGGTGCCTACTGTTTAGTTACATTTTAAAGTGATAGTGGTGGGTTATACAAAAGTGTATTGTTGGGAAATAACTCTAAATGCCTCAACAACAGTGGATCAGCAAAACACAATACATTTTTCTCTGGTAAAATGAAGCTAAAAAATCTATAGTCATTTTGTCTCAATTTGTATCTTCTACACTAAGTTCATTTAACACATGGTTCTTCAAAGAACCCTGTGCTTTATAAAGGCCTCTCTTATCCTCCTTTTCATTTTTATTCTACACTGTCCAACTCTTGGCCAGAGTTATTGCTCCTACCTAGTTTACAGTCTGTCATCACCCACTTCTGGGATTTACGGATAAATGTGTTTCCTATGATCCTTTTTCCATTTTTTTCCTATCAAGACTTTACCCATTGTGAGGGACCCAGTTTGAATAAAACTTTTGTTTAAGAAGGCTTCAGTGACTTTCTCAACCTGTTGTTTACTCTCTCAATTCTCATCTGCCTTTATTCATACACTCTCTCAATTCTCATCTGCCTTTATTCATACACTACTCGTGTTCATTTCAGGTTTATGGCTGTGTGCATGTGTGTGTGTGTGTATATATATATATATATATATATATATATATATATACTGTCTCATTCTCTCCTGCTAACCTATTTTATAAATTCCTTATGCATCTTTTTGAGAGAGAAAATGACTAGTACTTATTAAGCACCATGTGAGAATACCAAAATAAGGGCATGCTTTCCTGTTCTTCAGTTCTCAAAGATCTAGTGGCCTAGCCAGAAGTATGACAAGTAAACAGGACATGTCAATAAAATGTGATAAATGTAGCAATGAAGGCTTTTCAAATTGCTCTGAGAATCAGAGTATGTCACCTGGCCTGGGTGGTGAACTCATAGAAGGCTTCCTGGAGCTAAGAATCTTGAAATCAGTCTTATAGGTTGAGTGGGAATATCAGCCAGAAGTAGGAGTTCTGGGCTACAGAAAAGGTATGGCCAAAGATAACGAGGCGTAAGACATATGGAGTAAGAGAAATCATGATCTTTTGTTGGTTAGTGAGCATAAATTAAAGATTAGATGAGGTAGGAGGGTGAACCTGAGGGTAAGACAGAGCCATTTCCTGGAGGCTTCTGTTTGCTAAGCCATGGAGCTTAAATTTTATCCTGAATGTGTTAAAGCACTATCAGAAGATTTCAGGCATGTGAGAGTCATAATAAGATTGTTAGTTTACAGAACTCATTCTGATGGCAGTGTGCATAATGAATCTAGAGACAGCGAACTGGCTAATACTAAGTAGTGTGGATGACTACAATGACTTTTGTATAACAGCACATATAGCCATTGAATTAAAGGTACTTTCATGCCCTTCTTCATTGGCTAGGCACCTCTTTCAAGAACAAACATAATAAAATGTTATACGTTATATTAACTTTGAGAGAAAAAGTTTGGGGTGGCATTACAAGTCTAAAAAAATCCACAGGAAATTTGATGCTCTAAACAGAGTGATTATATAAAATGCTGGCTGGCTGTGGCTTAAGTAAATGCAATCATAGAATTGCATAGCTGTGAGTCAGAGTCAGCGTAGTCTTTAAAGTCCCTTGCTTGATAGCAAATTAGTGGCTTAGGGAAATATGTTTACATTTCATTTCTTATTGTACATCTGATTGCATGTTTTGAGAGTTAGATACAAAATTTCTTTATTTACAAATTTGGAGCAGGGGATTACATTGACTGTGTGCATACAGACTTAAGTTCCCCATTTAAGTGATAAAATACAATGAGGTATATACTTAAATAACAAGATATCACCAATTTACCATTTTATTTCAAATAAAAACCTATCCAAGATACAATAACAATTCATTCATTCTTATAATTAAATCATCATTACTATTGTATGGTATATTAAGTCTTGTGATTTCATCAGTAATGACTTGTTGGTGGAAGGGAGAATAGATTTAACTATTTTTTATGTCTTTCTTATATAATCATATTTAATCATATTTTATATTGTCATATTTAAACAACTTATCATATGCAATCTTTTCCTACTTTTTTCTAGATTGTGTGTATTTTGAAAACAGAACCTGTTGTATATTTGGTTGTAGTCCCAGAGTCTACAATAATTGTTCCATATAGATTTGTTAGAATTGAGTGAAAAATGAATTAATGATTAAATAATTGTAAATAAATGAATAACCAGATGAACTGTAGGCGAGTTAATCTCATTCGTAAACTTTTATTGAATCCCCGCTATGTTGCAGACTATGAGCTAGTGAGCAAGACAGAAAGTGTTCTTACCTTTTAACTTCTTGCTTTAAAGAACAAAACATGTTAATCAAATAATTGTAGGAGAAAATACGTAATTAAGACATGCTATAATTCTTGTGAAGGAAAAAGAAGAGATTGCTGAGGATACTTCCCTGAGAGTTAACCCACCCTAAGGAGTCAGAGTAAGCATCTTTGAAGAAATAGACTTCAAGTGGAAACGTGCAGAATGAGTTAGTATTGTTAAATGAAGAGGGAGAGAGACTTTTAGGAAAGGGGAAAACTCTTGGAGCTCTTGAAGACTGTAGGAAAGTGGAATGTTGGAAGAACTGAGAGGCATGTATAGAAGACAATAGGAGACTGAAGCTCAATCAGAAAACAATAAGGGCAAGGCAGTATATGTGCTTAACTTTCTCCTTTGACCTCATGTACTTTTAACAATATAAATGTAAAGTTGTGCTTGTACAATGACATTATATTCATATTCATATTTTATATCTAGTTAGTTCACAATAACATCTATTGAAAGGCAAACTGAAGGCAAGCAAAAGTGTAAGATAAGAATGCAGACTTTATATTTTCAACTTTATAGTAGAGATATAGCATATTATCAAAACTTGCCTAGATAGAGAACAAAAATGTCCATGGAAAATGATTTTTTTTTCCATTGGCTGCCATGATTTTTGCCCAAGCTGAGTAATGGCTTAGAAAAACCCATCTGTGTCTGTAATATTTACATATCATTATCTACCTATTTATAGACATATTTACATGAAAAGAAAAATGTGTGTATGCAATAAAAATAATCCTGTCTTCAGGAAGTTTATAACTTACCTAAGAAAGACAAATTTAATTATGTTTTTGAAAGAGAAGTCATTCAAAATTATTTATACTGACCTCAAGAACAGTATCAAATCAGAAGGAGAATGAACAAATTGGAGAATTATGCCCCTACAAGGGCAGATCTGTGTCTAACTTACTCATTACAGCAGTTGTAGTACCTGAACAGGTGTATGATGTCATAACATTGAATTAATTCTGCTTCACTACAAATGCTTAAATTTGGAATTCTTGTTCTCACTATGCTCACTAACAAAATACACGGAGGGTTGCATATGGGAATGAGATCCTACTACACTTCCCCCCAACTTTTCCTTAAAACAGAACTGCTGCAGGCTAATTTTACATCCCTATTCTTAACTAAGCATATGTAAATATAACTTCAATTTTCCAGGTAATCCTTTGGGTATATTTAATTCTGACCATTGATTCCTGTTGCTTTGCAATGTCTCTCCACAGCACTTTTTTTCACAATCATCCCCCTTTTAACTCAATTTTCTTTCCCAAGTATAAATAGAAGACAAGCAAATGCTGAAGCACTTCTAAGACAAAGATTCCTG